ACGGGTGAGTCACAGGAGACACATGGGGTAGTTTTTCCTGTGAGAGCAGTTTCTGGGCTCAGGGCTGACGCACAGCACAGCCAGGGTGGAGGCGGTTGTCACCCTCCAAGTGAGCGTTTGCTGCCTGCACTCAGCTGTTCTCACCAAGGGAATCTCCAGATTTGCAGTTGATGTGTTTCCCCACACACGAGCACACCAGTAGCTATGGCAATCCCACCACTACTTGAAATCCTTTCAAAAGGGCACATTCACTTCACTAGCGGGTTTTTGTATTACCTGAGATGCAGCCACCGAGAGATCAGGCAGCAGAGAGACAGAGGCACTGACATCCTACCAGCTAAGAGACAACCACACTTGCTTTTCTCTCTGCTTTACAGAAATCAGTATTGTCACCTTCCCCATCTCTCCACCCCCTTGAGACTTTGGCTCCACGTATTATTTGTCATATAGGATCAAAGCTGTAGTGGGCTAAAAACAAGCCAAGATAAACTTCTGCTCCAAGGAGTATCCTGAAACACCCTCTCCTTTAGGACAAAAGTATATTCCAACTTACCCTTTGTCAAAGAAAGAAGTATGCCCTGGGTGAGGGTACTTTGTGCCATTGCTGTTCATCATGCCACTGTTAACGTTCCCTGAAATGTAGGATTTCCGTGACGCCTGGTCCTTTGCAAAATTTCTACAAGCAGCTAATTTGGATTCTAAGGCCTGTGAAAAGGAAGAAAACAAAATGTCAAAAAAGTAGCAGCATTAACAGAAAGTATTCTGCTGCTTGAGTTCAGGCTTTGTCATGACCCCAAGATGACCATGATCAGACCCCAGTGTGATCACCTGTGGCAAAAACTGAACTAAATGGGAACAAAGCTGTCATTTTCTCTGTCACCCAGCCACAAAGGAAACCCACACAAGATGCTGACGCAGACTGCCAGGCACAACTTAGCTCCACTAGGGCTCAGATTTTAGAATATATCAGCTATTAATTGCCTAAAAAAAAGGAAGCCAATTCTTCACAGAAGTTACCAAAATCTCTTGCTTCAGCAGCTCAAGGGGCTGGCATAAGCTATTCAGAAGACTAAGGGAGAGCCTAAAGCAGAACTCTTAAGTTTTGGGAGGGTCTGTCTATTTGGAAAGTTGGATTTTTCCCCAAAACAATGCCTTCTAGCATTTCTTTCTTAATCCTGGCCTGCAAAACAATGTCAGCTTCTGAAGCCCCACTGATATGCTTCAGAACAAGAGATGCTACAGCCACAACACCAGGAGCAATCAAAGGCAGCAGCTAAGCCAGTCTCCGTGGTCTGTACCTCAGCTCTACTACTTCCAAGGAAGCCTGGTGAGATCTTTTTTCCCCTATACAAGGTGACATGTACAAGATGATGTGCCTCATCCACTGACTCCTGTCAGGAGGGAGACCAAAATCCCAATTCTCTCCTTCACTTCAGAACATGACCTGCCCTTCCTGCTGTCTGTCACAAAGCGAGGTGTAACTTGATGAATATCCTCCTGGTCCAGCAGAACATCTATTTGTTAGACCCCCCCTGTGTGGTGAGGAATTCACATGCGTGTGCTGGAGACAAAAACTCATCTCCCCAAACATGGGGTATGGCCCTTTTCCACATAGAAAAATATTCCATTAATAAGGTACTGACATGCTATCAGAAGTAACTGAACACTACACAGTCTGCTTCTAGAAACCCACGTGAGCTTCCTTAGCGAAGATACAGATCCTGACCTGTCTCTTGGTATCAAAGCACCTACCAGCTGGAAATAGCCACTGTGATCTGTACTAAGTGACTTCCTGCCTTGGCTGCAAGCAAGAAAGCTGAGGGAAACATTCCTGCAGAGAAAGAGAGTCTCAGGCTTGGGATGAGGCATCCTTTGAGTAGCCAGACCCAAAGAAATCCTGAACATCCTGTAATTGTTACTAAACAAATGCATGAGCTGGAATTTTGTCTCAGTGGCAGAGCGTGTGTCTAAGAGCAGGCTGGGAGAAAAGCATGCTTATTTGGCATTTCCTGTCCTTGCAGAGTAATCACATGGGATTGTGATTAAGCTCCCTAAATCCCTTGCAGACTCTTACTCACAATGATCCCATTTTAAACATGTCACTCTGGAACCCTGAGTCCTCCTGCTGCCCTTTCAAACCAACTATGAGCTCACTGGCTCCAAATGTGAGCAACGAGGTTATTTTTCATTTCAAACTTTGCTAAAACAACTGTCTCTACTGCAGCTATTGCTGTTCTCAGTGTTAACCACAAGAGACAGAGGGAAGCCAGCACCAGGGGCCAGACAGCAAGGCTGTGCATGCTTCCATTCAAAACACTAACCACACTCAGGCACGTCAACAAGCTTCTCATAACTCAAAAGTCATGTCTCTGTTCAACTGGAAAGCCTGGCACCATGAAAAACACAGTAACAGATGCTGAAACCATTTCTTCCCTCCTTATAGTGGTAATCCCTTTAGAGGCTCACGCATTTCACTTCCCCATCAGCTACAGATGGGAACATTTGGCTTTCTCCTGATTTATTTTCTCACTTTCTTATCACAAGTTTCTAGACTTTTTTCCATTTTCAGCACCTCTTGCAGATCTCCTCAGGCACATGAGGACACACTGGAAAGTGTGATCTCAGCTCCCCTCCTGTGACATAGAGTAACTGAGCAGCAGGTACCCAGAATCTAAGGTCCAGCTCTGCATCTTGGTCTCATACAGAAGAAGCAGCAGGCCCCATTTAAACTAAGAACAAGAGGCTGATGTTATCTAACCCCGTATACCAAAGCGCTTGAGAAACTTTTTACACCAAATATGAATTTAGTCACCCAAAATTGGCATCATTATCATATACTAAACACTGAATGTGCATCATTTGGAAACCTCAGCGTGTATTCAGCATGAGCCAAGGCCTTGTTGTAACCGCGCGCAAGGACGAAAGCTCAGTGACAGCAGCACAGAGCTGGGAATATTGCAGCTCAGGGCACTCACCCCCACTTTCCGTAACAGATCTCCCACAATGTTGAGTGCAGATATTCTAGCTGAAGGGGTAAGGGGACTGGTACCAAATCCATTTGGTATAGCTGCAAACAACAGACACATTTTATTACACACTCTGCTCCTCCATGGTTTTGGTTTTGTGGTTCCCCCCCACAGTTTAAATAAATCGACTTCTACATAAAAAGGTAAATCTAAAACCCTACTACAGACTATTCATACCATTCCCCCAAAGTAACACACAGACTACATGATCTACTACGTGCCATGGAAAAGAAAAAGCTTAATTCCTGCCCACTGCTCTCTGTCCCGTTAGACCTACCCCCAGAGTCCACACACGCTCCATCTGCAAGGCTACTGCCCGCGGTTCATCTAATCCAGACAGAGTTTCCTCTGGAATCTACTCTTTCTAATTTGAAAACTAATGTAGAATCCTTGTGATTGTCCAGAGCCTTCCAGATGGGGAATGGGACTGGACCACCAATATCCTGCTGCCCTACAGAGAAAACAGGAGCCCTGAAAAGTATGTGTGGTAGCAGAGGCAGTCTGGACTGTCAGAATTACTCACCACTGCTACTCCACATTGAAGAGAAATATCAGTCACTGCACTTCCCTGAAATCCCAAATGTCTTCAGTGCTCTACTGCAGACTGCAACCTCCTGCACCTCCTAAAAGCAGTATCTAAGCTTCACTGTCATCCTTTTCTGTGGCATTGACTCATTATAATCCTTAAATGCACCTGATGCTGCCCCAGGATTTAAACACATCTCATGCAATGCAGGAATCTACATTTACTTCAAGTTCACTAACAAACACCTGGTGTGAAATTGTTTGTTAACAAGCTGAACACACTGCTAAACAACTAGTTAATGTGAATTATACCTTTTGGGGAAGGAAAACTATTTTCTGATCCTTTTCCAACAGGTGTAGCTGGCAAGGAGAGAGAGGCCTGGACAGCTGAATCCATCTTTTCACAGTCTAGAGTTGGAGAGCTGGGCGCTGACTTTCGGGTGACTTCTTGCTGCCTCTCCCGTACTGCCAGCTCTTGCCGTAAGTCTGAGGGTTGAAAGAAGAAAAAAACCCACTCATGTTGGTGACTGATTTCTCTAATAAACACTCTCTCTATTCTCTCTATTTGTAAGGGAGGAGGAGGAGACACTTTGCAACCACCCTGTATCAATTGCTTGCTGCTGGCTTTCTCCAGCAGCAAGAACCCCCACCTCAGAGCAGTCACAGCCCAATGCCACCACTTCCAGCTACAGCTGGGAGTAGAGAGGCAGCAAGCAGAGCCCTCCCCAGAGCAGAGAGCTGCGTGGTCCCAGCAAGCACCACAGGTCACTTAGCCTCAGTATTTTTCTCCATCTGTAGCATTAGTCCCGTGGAAAATGTGTTACAAAAACAAGAGCTGGTCACAAATGCCTGCGGAACTACACTCAGCTCCTGCTCAAACAGAGGTTGGAAAAAGGGAGGAATGACCTATTCTTGTGTTTCCAATTCCCACTAGTTAATACTCCACACTAGCCAAAGACAGTCAAAGGGCTGTATCCAGTTTTTTGATGCTTCAACAAGTGAAAGAGCAGACTGGAGAGGCTGGGTAGTCCAAACAACAGAGAGAGACTGGAGATTAGGAAACCTGCATTTTATTCTGAAAGCTGGGGAAGGACTTTTCATAAGGGCAGTTAATGACAAAACAAGGGGAAATGGGTTTAAGCTGAAAGAGGGGAGGTTTAGATGAGATATTAGGAAGAAGTTCTTCACTGTGAGGGTGGTCAGACACTGGAACAGGTTGCCCAGAGAAGTTGTGGATGCTCCTCCCTGGAAGTGTTGAAGGCCAGGCTGGATGAGGCTTTGAGCAACCTGGTCTAGTGGAAGGTGTCCCTGCTGCTGGCAGGGGGGGTTGGGACTGGATGAGCTTTAAGGTCCCTTCCAACCAAACCCATTCTATGATTCATTCTATGATTCTATGATTCATTCTCACCTCCTCTCTGGACTGCTGCTTACCCCTACCTTGCCCTCTCCGATTTCCACACATATTTGCTACAAAGAGTATCCAGCACAGCTCAGCAATGAATCTATAAAATCCTTAGAAGGGAGTAGATGCAAATAAACAATACATTACAAGGGGGTTGTTCCTTTTTGGGTAGAGCAACTGAATTTTTACAGACCTCTTATTCCTTGTCTCAATCTGGTAGAACACGCAAGAGCAAAATTAGTTGAGCTTTTAAGTTATCGTAAGTATTTAGAACTGATTTTAAGTAAAACAGCTGAAATTAAAATCTATTTCAGCTCCTAGAAGAAGATTTGTGGCTGTTCAGTCAGAAATGTTATATTTGAGTCTGACACCATATCAGTTCTTTTGGTGGCTAGTGTTGCCCGTGTGCTGTCAAGGGGAATAACATGTAGCTTTGCTACCCTAACAAACGCTAAAAATTTCCAAATGACTCATCCAAGAAACAAGATGTCTTTTTTGCTAATTATTCCAGTGTTGCAGAAAACAGACACCAAGGTTTTGCTGTTTTTTCCACTATCATTGCCCTAACCCCAAATTATAATGCATGTATTTCCTCAGAAAATACTTATTCTCCCTTTTCATATTTATTAGAAAAGCCCTGTGCTTCCAATAGGGGCTTTCAATTTGTGGGGCACAAACTTGCTTCAAAGAGGTTCACAAAGGAGAATGACAACAAAAGATCCCAGCCTGTTGTTAAGTGTCTGGTCTCACACTCAGATCTAGGCCTTAACTGAGGGATTATTTTAGAAAGTTGCACTTGGGAAACAAAGTTGGAAACCACTAATCTCTAAACTACATTAATGGCAGGCACAGGCTTGTGAGCAGACTGTCCCCACTAGTAGAGAAATCACTTTCTGCCAATGATAAAAAAAAAAATGCTTCCTCACTCTCCTCAGTATGAAACCCACTGGGGCATCCCCAGCTCTTGATCATACTCCAGAACATTGTCCTGAATGTCTCTGATCCCACAAGTCTAATCACGGTCTTTACTGGAATATCTTAAATAAACCAGGCAATTTACAAGAGATTTAGAAGAAACATAGGAGACAGGATTTTTAAAGAAAGTTATTTAACCATTTATCACATTTCCCTGTTATTTTCTGTGCTTTTCCTTCCTTTACAGGCACAAAACCACGGCGAGTGGCTACTACACCTGCAGAACACGGTATTTCTGGACTTGGGTTAAAAATCCTGAATGAATCTGACATTAGTTTTGCCCTACGTGAGGAAATTGTTTCCCTCAGCTACACTGTACTCACAAAAACCAGAGAACATACTGTTAATAAGTAATACCCAACGCTTACAGTACACATCCAGTTCAAGGCTCATTATGTGAGACTTCCTATAAAGATGAGCTTTGGTTGCTACACGTTTGTTAGCAAGTCAACAATGTACCAAGACACAGAACTAATCATGCAAGCCATACCTCTCGCTTCATCCTTTAATCTCTGTACAGAAACTAGCAACGACTCCTTGTCATCCAGTTCACTTTCTAAAAATGCATTTCTCTCAATAGCTTGGTTCAGCCTTTGTTCAAAGTCTTCCAATGAAACTATTGTTGCCCTAGAAACAAAATCCAAAATATTAGGTTCTTCAGCTCAGCTAACATAAAAGCATATTCAAAAACAGAATGGAGGAAAAAATGTTTGTGGGGTCTACATTCAAGTTAGTAATTTGAAAGCTACGGAAATGCTTCTTAGAAAGGACTAATGAACTCCAAACAAGCAGGGGAATAAGATGAAAGAGTTGGGGCTGTTCAGCCTGGAGAAGAGAAGGCTCCGGGGAGATCTTATAGCGGCCTCCCAGTACCTGAAGGGGCTACAAGAAAGCTGGGGAAGGACTTTTCATAAGGGCAGTTAATGACAGAACAAGGGGAAATGGGTTTAAGCTGAAAGAGGGGAGGTTTAGATGAGATATTAGGAAGAAGTTCTTCACTGTGAGGGTGGTCAGACACTGGAACAGGTTGCCCAGAGAAGCTGTGGCTGCTCCTCCCTGGAAGTGTTCAAGGCCAGGTTGGATGAGGCTTTGAGCAACCTGGTCTAGTGGAAGGTGTCCCTGCTGCTGGCAGGGGGGTTGGAACTGGATGAGCTTTAAGGTCACTTCCAACCCAAACCATTCTGTGATTCTATGATTCTATGAAAAGAACATGATAGCATCTGGCTCTCAGAGATGTACCAAAGAACTGGGAAAGAGCCAATCCAGCACACCTAGCTCCATTTTTCCCAAGCCATGCTGCAAGGCCATATATTTAACCAGAGCATTAGCCCAGGTGGTGCTGTACTCCCCAGAGCCCTGGACGGGCAGCAGCCCAGTGTGCAGAAAGCAGGGCACTGGGGTATTACCCAAGACCCAGTATGTTCCATGATTTCAGTGGGACAACTCATGTGTGTCAAAAGTTAGTCACGAGGAGAGCCTTGTGGAAACAGGGCCTGAGCTCTCAGATCTTTTTGCCAGATAGCCAGAGGCTCATTCCTGGTCCCACTGAATCAATGGCAAAATTCCCATTCGGCAAAACGGAAGCATGACCTGCTGCAAAACGGGGCGTTCCTAACAGCAGCCCGTTCATTTCATGCACTTATCCAGGACATGTTTGCTCCCCACGGTCATTAAGCTGTTATGCAAGGGAAGAGGAGACTCATTTGGCCTGTTTTCTTTAAAAGGGACTATGTAAAGCATTAGCTTCTCACTTCAAAGTGGCTTTGAGCTACAAGGATCACAAATATCAGTCACCTGGGTGGTACTATCAACAGCAGCGCACTGGCCTGGCTTGCTCTGCACCTACTTGCACTGCTTGTGTCTCACAGGAACACGAAGCACTTTGGTCCTCTGCCTTTCTTGCTGTAACATAATGCTACCAGCTGATGGAAGTGAGCTCCAAGGGTACACGGCACTGTACAAATAACCAACTGTCTTGGGGTTTGTCTGGGTTTTTTTGAATGTGTGCTATTTTCCCTTTCAAGGAATAATGAAATGATCAATCTAAGTAGCAAAGAAAAGATCTAGTGAAAACTTTAAGGAAAGAAGAGGTTTGCAGCCTTCACCTCTTTGCACGTTCCAAGTCATCGTTGGCCTGCTCCAGTTCCCTCACATACTTATGCAGCTGATCTTTAATGGCCCGTGTCTGGCTGAGGTCATCCTCTAACAACGACACTTGCTTGTAACTTTGTGCATACTGGTGCTCCAGTTTCTCCTGAAAGAAAGAAGGAGCGAGATAAACATCAGTCACATGCACTCTCCAGGTCATCAGGAGTAAAATGGGACAGAGAAGGTAACACACTCACTGCAGCCTGCTGATGTCAGACTGCTGGTAATACAGAGTGCAAACTGGTGAGTTAGAAGGAACACGACACGCTCTGTAAAATCACAAACATTGTGCACAGACACCTCACCACGACACAGCTGGCTGCTCAGAGATGCATCCCTGCATCTGTTCCCCACAGCCTGCACTGACAGCTGCTCTGAAGCCTCAAACATCTAGGAAGTCAGAGAGAAATCTAACTGCACAGCCTCCCCTTCAGTGCCTCTCCCTTGACAATAGCTGCACTGTTACCAGAACTCGTCTGACATCTCCATTAGCAAAAATGAGAGTCACTGGAGTCTGTCACAAAACCTCCAGGTCCACAAGCTCATCTTCAGAAGACTGGAAGGATTCATTCCCAAACACGCTTATACCAGCTATGAGGGTACACAAAGGGGCTTATGGAAAAACCACTGACCTTATAGAACACATACTGACCTTACAGATATAGCTGGGACTGGATATATATCCACAGATATGGCTGTTAAAAAAGGATTAAGAGATTCTCTCTGAAAGAAGTGCACAAACTGCCCCTCTTTAGATTTCTTTAAGGTCTCATAATACCAAGGAGACCTTCTGGGCAAAAAGAACCTAGTATGCAAGGACAACTATGCAGCAGCCTGACAAAACATACTTGTGTTGTCCTCCCTGTTGCTATGCCAGCGTTGTCTGTGTAACTAATAAAGCTACTATTTGGCAAAGCACAGAGAATTCAAATAAACGTGCACAGTCTCCATGACAAGAGTTTCATGATTTGAACAAGAAAAATTCCTCCAGAAATTTCCCTGGCAAGTTGATGGCCTTATTTGGAGCAGCCATGTACATGCTGGCCTTATTGTACCTGTCATGCTCAAGTGCAGATCTTAAGCAGACAACTCCTTTATTTCATTTGGATATTCAGTGAGCAAGAACAGACCAGACAATCTAAAATGAGATCCAAGACGTATCTGTAAGAAGCAGCAATGCTATTACAGAAAAGACCTACCTTTAATGTTTCCACTTCATACTTCAGCCTTTGGTTATCTGCTTGCAAATCCCTATTCCTCTGTTCAGCTTGTACTAGCTGTGCCTCCAACTCGGCTTCTAATTCTCTGCTTCCCTCCTGAAATTCAGCCAGCTCTTCACGAGCTTCCTGGAAGCTATAAGGAGAAGATTTCATCAGTTGGAAATCCAGCATTTCCCAAGTTAAAACAAAATCCACAGCTCTTTTAGAATAATAAGCTGAAAAAACCCAAGAGTTTTAAAGTACTTAAGTGCCACCCATAGACCTCAAAGGGGTGAAAAATGGGGAAACAGAGAAATTCTGTTCAGCTTAGCTATAAAAGGAAATTAACTCTATTACATCAAACAAAGGGCTACATTAAATGCGTGTGTGAATACAAATTTGTATCAAAGCTATTTACAGGATTCACAAAAGTCTGACAACCACTTTGTACTCCATTAGACTTCACTGTTAGGCCACTTGATAGGGTCAATAAATTAGAATCATAGAATCCCAGACTGGTCAGGGTTGG